TTAGTGTCGTAAAACCAAAACCAAACCAATCGCATACCAATTAGACTACTCAGCCAATCTCAAATCGTAGTAAAACCAAAACCAAACCCAAGTAATTGTCTAATTACTTTCGACACTCAAATGAAAACCTTATTACACTTTGTTATCCTCGGGAAACGATCGGCTACCTCCGAGAATTTGCGAATTTTCCCGCCCGTCGCAGACTTCCGTAATTTCGGTTCCAGACTTCGCACTAGCAGACCGCGTATTAAAAATTCAAAATGGCCGCCACAAAACACAAAACACGGGCGATAAAGGTAGGTGAATCTTTTATTCATATTCTAAACGGATGTGAGGACTCCCTGTGTCTTTTCTTGATTTAGAGCCGCGAAAGAGCCGGCTCTCTCATTTGGAGAAAAATCAAGAAATACCTCTGGGACCAAGGTACTAACTCGGTAACTATGGATGAAAGCGCAGAAAGGGGTGAATCGACGAGTGCACCTCCATTGTACTAGTTTCCCTTCAATGCTGCTTTGAGTGTTGGAATATTTGCGAATCTTACCGGAAGAGGGTAGGAGTAAGGGAGAGGGGTTAAGAGGACTTAGCGACTGAGGCGGGGGCAGTTGTCTGGCCTGGGATCGAGGTTGTCCCGAGTTTTTCGTTCGAATGTTCGTCGAGCAAGAAATTAGGGGTGACTTTGACGATCAGAAGTGAAGCTCAAGATATGCTTAGGTACAACAAGTAAAGCTCAAAGCGTGTGCAGAAGGTATGTAAAGTAACTGCTGTATTTCTGTAAGGTTTTCCTGGATTTTTTTTAAGGTTAAATGCTTTCTTCAATATTTCACTTCCGCAGTGAAGCGAAGTCTACTTTCGCTTTTACTTTAATAGACCTCTTTAGCTTGGGCGGTTTGTTTTCCCGTTGTTCCACGTGATATTCTCTACAGAATTTTTTCTTTTATCCATCGTAAAATTATTCATTCATATACATGCGACTATTTAAGAACTTGAAAGCAAGAACTCTCAAGAAACAAACCCCCCAACCTAAAGAGGTCTATTACCGGCCTCGCTTGTCGCCATCTTTTACATTTAGGTTTAACTGTGGAAGTTTTGCACCCAACTTTTTGAGTTCGCTGCCAACATTATCTTATAGTCACAGTTCAATATCGAAAAAATAAACATTGTTTTCACTCTCAAGATTAGTGATGCTAATCTTAAAGTCTGGTAGAGTCCGGGGGTAGAGTCTAAGGTTGGAGCCTGAAGGAATCCAATTTTAGAACCCAGTCAGTATAAACTGCAGATCGTAGACCATTTCCATCATTGAGAGGTAACCATAAACAGGCTAACTGAAGCGTTATTTAGGCTAACCTGAGTGATTTTCAGGCTAACTTCAGTGCTATTCAAGCTAACCAGAGTGATATTCAGTCTAATCAGAGTGGGTGTCTGGAAAACCCGAATAGCGAATAGCGAATAGTACGATTAGTGCGAATAGTGGCGAACAGTCTCGAATAGTGGCAAATAGTGGCAAATAGTGGCAAAT